TTTTAATATATAAATAATTTTATTTTTATTAAAATTAAATTAATTTATTAATATAAATAATTATTATTTATTTTATTAAATATAAAAATTTAATTTAATTATATTTAATAATTATTTATTTAAATATAAATATAATTATATTGATAAATAATTTATTTATTTTTTATTACATATTTATTATATACTATTTACTATTACATATAATTGAGAGTAATAAATTAATAATTTGATTGAAAATACAAACATATCATTCTATTATCTAAATAAAAATATATCATTAACATATATTAATATACTATTATTTAAATATAAAAAAATTTATCATTCTAATTCTGTGTTATTATTATTCAATTATTATTATTATTATATATTAATTAATTATTAATAAAATTTATCTAAATAAGTGTTATTGATAATATTAATGATTATATTTTTATGTTAAATTTTTTAACCTCCAAAACTAAATTTAAAGTTAATAAAAAAAAATAAAAATGGATTTAACGAGGGAACGGAAGTGAGACGGACGTTTGAACTGACAGAAAACTACAACGTTCGCTAGAGGCGCGTAAAGTCTACGCTCTCTCACCGACAGCCAGTAAGATCGCTTCTTCCTCACTCCGCTTTCTAATTCTCCCCCCTCCTTCAAATCTGCGACCTCTGTCTCTGTCTCTGTCTCTCTCTCTCTCTCTCTCTCTCTCTCTCTCTCTCTCTCCAGCTTACATTTTTCGCCATGGATTTCGCGTTTCGAAGAACTACCAGCAGCAAAACCAACAACATTCCACTTCTCTTTTCTTTTGCTTGCCTTCTTCTCTCCTCCATTTTTTCAGTCGTCACTGCCTCCATCCACTTCTATGACCAGCAACCATTCAACGACGTCGGCAACTCCTTCCTTCTCTATGGAGGCAGCGAGGGTATCTCCGCAGCTTCAGTTATTCCCGACGATCCCGCCCCCGCTTCCCTCCATGATGGCCGTGCTTTCATCCGGTAAACCATTTCTCTCTTGCCAAAACGTTCGTTGCATGCGTGTCCCATCTCTTTATATAGTGTTTACATCTGTATCTGCGTGTTTCCGTGTCAATTGTTAATTTTATTTTGAGACTGGATCTGGATAACGAGGAAGCTGAGAAATGGAGAACTTACGGAGATTCCATTTAATAAGAAGCAGAAATTAATATTCAATGTTGGTGCTTGCTTGAATGTGTGCGACCGCGTACATGCTCATTTTAGTGGTTTTGGATTCAGAATTAGATCTGGAGTCCGTTTGGTCTTGTGTGAGTTCTCGTGCTTGTTCGATTAGACGCTATGAAGAGGAAAAGTAAATTTGAATACTTCGAATCTGAACTTCGTCCCTTTAAGACAAGCTGTTCTTTTTGCGGATTTCCAAAAGGGACATATTCTTGGAGATGTAGGAAAAAGATCACAGTGATTAAACGTGCCACGATGATTGAGATAGACATCAACCCTCAGTCCTTCGTTAAAATTGCGTCTGCTGCTTATGAATTAGAGTGATAAGATTATAAAAAGCACAATAACATTAGAAAACTCTAGGTATTACAAATGGAACGCTGAGAGTACCCTGGATTGCAAACAGAGATCTATAGACATCAGTGCTTAAGTTAGGCAAATGAACCAGTGAATTAATGCAAGAGTTGATTAATATTTTATATATATACGTACATATAACTTCTATTTATTTTGAAAGTTCAAACCCATGTACTTTTAGCCTTACTGCTATTGCTGTACCAAGCATTGCCAGAATTTTATCCTTGTTGTCTCTGAACTAGAGAGAAATACAGATGTTTTAGCATTTGGTTTTACTGAATACCATATTGCTGTAGATATAATGTTTATGTTCTGTTATCTAACGCTTATATGCTATTAAATCTCGGTATTCATGCCTTCGCAAGTAATAGACAAACATTGTCTTAAAACTTGCTGAACTTATTTCAAATCTGAATGTCATACATGTATAACTTGACTAGATTTGAGAATATTACTTTCTGGAGGACTCAGGATGCAGCCGATGAGCATTCAGACATGGAGCACAGTACTGGGTTGATACAGGCTGTGATCTTTGAGGTGGCTGATCGCAATAATATTGGTGGTTCTGCTTATGGTGGTCAAAGGTCTATATGCTGTACCCCTGATCTTGCTAAGCTGGAAGGTTGCAAGCAAGGTGAAGTGATTAGGATACCTTCTGCTACAAACATGAACTGGCCCATTGTCGTAAATGTACAGTTCAGTGGCAACTACTTATCTACAACGATGGATTATACAGAGATTCCCATCTCAAAGACTGGCATGTATAATTTGTTGTTTATAGCCTGTGATCCAAAACTTAAGGGACTAACAATGAGCGGGAAGACTTTTTGGAAGAATCCTGATGGTTATCTACCTGGTAGAATGGCCCCATTGCTGAAGTTTTATGTGTTTATATCACTTGCATATCTGTTGCTCAGTACTGTTTGGTTCTCTCAGTATATGAGATTTCAGAAGGATGTACTGCAACTTCAGCACTGTATCACATCTGTCATTACCCTTGGACTGTTTGAAATGATCCTTTGGTACTTTGAGTTCGTAAATTTTAATAGTACTGGAACAAGACCTGTTGTCATTACAACATGGGTTGTGACAGTTGGAGCTTTGAGGAAAACAGTTTCCCGCCTTCTTATTCTTTGTGTTTCAATGGGCTATGGGGTTGTCCGACCCACTCTTGGTGGTCTTACCTCAAAGGTCGTCTTAGTTGGAGCCACTTACTTTGTGGCATCAGAGTTACTGGATATTACTGAGTATGTGGGAACCATCAATGACATATCTGGAAGAGCAAGACTCTTTCTAGTCCTTCCTGATGCATTCCTGGATGCATTTTTGATATTGTGGATTTTCACCTCTCTTTCAGGGACACTGGAGCAGTTACAGGTGTTATTTTTCTTCTTTTTTCTGTACTTGTTTTCAATATAGTTCCCCAATACAAAGCTTACTGTGTTAACCTTTTCCTTCTTATATATTTACATTAATCTTTGATATATTTAACTGATTGTTTTATTTACTTTCCAATCCAGGTAAAAAGGATATCAGTTAAATTGGATATCTATAGGAAGTTCTCAAATGCATTAGCTGTCACTGTGATTGCTTCCGTTGCTTGGATAGCTTATGAGGTAAATAACACAGTTACAATTATAAATTTGGTACTCTGTAAATTTTACCTGTCACTACTGAGTTTCATGATCATGTTTTTTCCATGCATCGAATTGGTAACTAAAGGATCCACTTTTGGATTTGGAGTATGGGCCTGCTAAAAATAAAGAATATAGTTTAAAATTATACTCAAGGTGAAAGAAGTATATGATGAGATCTTCAACTGCTTGACTACCAGAAGTTTTCTTCTATATTCAATTAGGAAATTGTTATTTAAAATGTGGCTGCTATGCCTGTTTTGCACAATTAACTTAGATTGTGAGATTTCATATGAATCTAGTTTCAGGTGGCTAACATCTATGAGGCCCAAAGAACAGAAAAAATAACCTCTTAATAGAAGTATCAAACTGCTCATCTCTTTTTTTTAATGATCAGTTATTTCTTCTCATCAATTTTTCAACTGGTTTTGATCACCTATCTTAAAGGATATGAAGAAAACGATTACTTTAGACTGATTTTTTTCCGGAGCTTATGACCTAGTTTTAAGAACAAAATATACCAAAAAAGCCACCCCAAGTTTACATAATTTATTTCTTCTCAGAAGACTAGCTTATATGAGCTCCAAAAAGAATAACCTAATCCGAAAGGGCTCCTTCTTCTGATGTTCTGTTTAATTGCTCGGTTAAAATTGGTCATATCACTAACAATATGTTAGCTGAGATAGTTAAGCAATCGTTATTTTTTCTGATAACTAGTGCATTATGGTAAAATTTCTCTTTTCTTTTTTTTCTCTTTTAAAATTTGGCTTTTTATGGGGAAAAGGACAATTCAAGACACCTTTTGAAGGAATTTGGTAAAATAGTAAATAAATGTCTCAAATGAGGACAGAAGCTTTTGAAGGATATAGTTGATTTTGATTTTAGATTTCCTTTTTCCATTTACTATATATTTGATCTGACATGCTCTTTCATATAGGTTTATTTCAAAGCAACAGATCCATTCAATGAGCGGTGGCAAAGTGCCTGGATAATAACAGCTTTCTGGGACATAATTGCGTTTATGTTACTGTGCGTTATTTGCTATCTATGGGCCCCATCTCAAAACTCTCAGAGGTGCGATGTTACCTGTAGTTCAACAGATTGTATTTTGATTTTTCCTCTTTTTTCCCTTTTTTCCCTCGCTTGCTGCTGCATATGGCAATGGAATCTTATGTTTAACATACCCCATCCTCCTAAACAGAACAGTCAAAAAATTGAAGGGAAAATAAACGAAAGAAATTACTTTTTCTCCTGAATTTCTTTTAGGCTGCCTTTCCTGCATTCTGTCAATCATTCTTGGAAATCTGATCCTTTATGCAAGGAACTGTAACTAGAAATGTGACAGATCCATCGGAAGTAGTTATATCAGTTACTCAGTTACAGGTCTGTTATTTCACTTGTAGATCTATCTGAGTGAAGGTAGGTATAAATACCTTAAGGGTTGCAAAGATGATGACCTATTGAGGAATAGAATATCCTCCTCTCTCTCTCTCTCTCTCTTGCGCTCTCTCGCTCCCTCCCTCCCTCCCTCCCCTTCTCGTTTCCTCCTATCTCCTTACTTCCCCTTTGCCTTCTCTTAGATTCGCTTCTGTGTGACTGGAGCTGCCAATAAATACAACCCTGTGCATCAATCCCGAAATTGGTTGCTAAGACATTACTTATCTGCTTAGTTAAGATAGCAAATAGGAGTCCTTTAGGTCTGAGGTGTTCTAGCTGTGTTTTTATGAATGAAAAACTTACTGTCCCTCTCACAAAATTGTAAAATGGTCTGCATTCTAGTTGACATGTACAATGTGCAGGTATGCCTACTCTGGAGAAGTTGGCGAAGAATTTGATGATGAAGAAGCTCAGTCTCTTACGGATGGGAAGCCTGAAGGTGATATCAGTTTAGTCAAGCAACAGAAGAATGTTGCAAATTCTACGGAATCCGACCAAGAAGATGATAATGAAGAGGGTAAGAGGGAATGAAAATAATCATTCAGAACATATATCCATCCCTGTTAGCAATCTGATTCAATATTGCCAAACCCCTACTTATCTAAATCAAACAGGGGGCAACATAACACAAGGATGATTATCCGCAGATTGAAAACCTTTTCCACTTGGGATCCAAAGTAGGGTTTTCCTTTTCTTCTTTTTTTCTTTGTTAAAGAGGGGGTATATTTTTGCTATAGATGTAATCATTCATAATTGTGCACTAGAGGCAGAGAGGATCTGCCAGATTTCTTGAATTTGTTCAGGTTCTTAAGTTTTGTTCAACTGTGTATGTATAACAGGGTGTGCAATAGTGGTTATCAAACAGAGTAAATGAAAGGTTAAAATGGCAGGGGTTTAGTCTCGAATGTCAATGCCAAGTTGATTGGTGTACTCTTAGGATTTTGGGGGTAAAAGTAAAAAAAAATATATCTTTTCCATTAGTAGTTGAAATGTAACTTTGCTTTTCAGTAGTGATACAATTGGTCAATTTGATGTTGTTATGAACTTATTATCGAGAATTAGACCCAGATAATTGTTATGTCATCCTTTAACAATTTACAATTACTTCTTCATTATAAAGACTAGTCTCTCAGGTAAGATATATATTACGTGACATTGTTTGGTTCATAATAGTTTATGAATTGATTATACCATTCGGTAGTTGTAGTACGGTTTGAACAAAAGTATAATTGATAAATTATTGTATCTTATTTTGGCATATTTATTTAAAAGTATATTTTAATATATTTTTAAAATAATATAATATGACAGTTAGTAATTCAATTGAATAAAGCTTTTCTAACATTACATAAATTTTGAATGAATTCCAAAAAATATTCTGAATGTTTTCAAACATAACTTTAAAAAAACATTTCAATGTAACTCAGTCTTTCTCCTGAGATGGTTGCGGCAATTTATTATTAAAAATTATATTTTTAATAGAAATATATAAATAAATATTTAGCTATGATATATTTTTTAATATTACTGTAACGCGTTTAGAATTTTTATATTTTTTAATTACGATTTTTAACTTATTAATTATCAAACTAATAGTGCATGACTCCAAAACTTTTCAAGAATATGCAAAATTTTTAATTCACTTGTTCTGTATAAGTTTTAGATTACTGTTTGATATATTAATTTTGCATATTTATTAAAAATAATCAAAATTAAAATCATAGTTAGAGCTGTATATTACCTTTAAAATAATGAATAAAAATACCATCAAAATTTTGTACCAAAATTATTAAAAATAAATCCAGTAAAAAACCAAGCAAGGAAAGGAGAGAAAAAGAGAGAACAAAAAAGTTACTGTTTGTTATTTCCGTTGGCCGCCCAGTATATTCAATTAAATCCTCTTCTCTGAAATGATTCAGTAGAAAAGTGGTAGTGGCAAGAAGCACTAAAAAAAGAACCAATTAATCAAATTCAGTCACAGGAAGAGAAGAAAAAGATTGTTTAATTATGGCTAGCAGTAATGGAAGCGACGACCAACTAAAGCGAATGGCAGAACTCAGCAAAACCCTAAAAGAAGGAGAGAGGATTGTTGCGCCCACACGAAGACCCGACGGTACTCTCCGAAAACCCATCCGGATTCGAGCCGGTTACGTTCCTCAAGAAGAAGTCGCCATTTATCAATCCAAAGGTGCCCTGGTATGGCTGCTTTTCTTTTCTTTTTATCTCCACCAACGGAAAACCCAATTACATATGTACATAAATGTATTGTATCTCTGGAATTTTTGTTTTTATTTACGTGTTCATGTATGTATTCATTATTGATCAGTAGAACATAGGGAAGAGATAGCATATGACCCTAATACTCATTGGTGTTTCTGTATGGGGTTTCTTTTTGCCACATTGTTATTGAGCTAATTCAAGAACTTGTCTGTCTGTGTGGTAACCATTGAAGTGTTTTAATGGTTTGTTTGGTTGGTGAAATAATTGGGATTCCGCGAACTTTTCAACTTTCTGCAGAGGAATGTTTTGGTTAAGTGCATAGGCATAGTCCCTAGCAACTATGTCAACTAATTAACTACTTTTTTCATACCCAGAGATTTTTTTTTAATGCTAGTCTGTTCTTACTAGGTTTTTTTTTAATATACAAATCATATTGTGGCCATTAAAAAATATTTAGGGCAAGGAAAAAGGGAAGAAAAAATCACAGTGGCTTTTGTTGTCTTTTCATGGTGCAGTGGAGAAAGGAGATGGCCTCACAGGATGTGGTGCCAGGTTATGATCCAACTGCAGATACAAAGCCCAAGACCAAATCAGTAAAGAGGAATGAAAGAAAGAAGGAGAAGAGGCAGCAGGTATATTGTTATTGTCTTGCTTATTTTGTTTTTAATGTTAAGGACTTATAGCACAATTCATTCTTGTGCTTCAATTGTTTAGAAATTATAGAAAAGAGGACTGATTCTAGAATTTTATTTCTGGGAGTTTTCTTTTCTTTTGGATAGCCTCATTTTTTGTGGTTGAAAAATTATTATTTTCCATATATTTCTTGGTAATCTAACATGATGATCAATAGCCATAATATTACAGGTTCATCTTTTTATTCAGATAGGGATTTCTTGGCTTGAATAGTGCTAGATTGGCATTTGAATGGACTGAACAGTTGTTAATCAGAATGTTATATTTCACTGTATCTGAATAACTTACACAGGAACACATTGGACTAGGATTGAAATTCAATCCATTGACAGGCTTACTCCACTCCATTTCTCATAGAACACATCTGTTTGCTTTTGAAAGATAAGGTTATTTGTTCATTTGATACATCATGCAACCTGATTATGTGGTAAAACCTCATGTTTTAGCCATTTCTGTTAAATATTTTGACTCTATTTCCTTATGTTATATGCTTGTCATTTCTAAGAGAAAAGTAGTTCATAATCAGTTAGTTAAAACGAGAGATGTAGTTAACGTTTTGCAAAGAAATGTTAATGGTTTATATGAGCCATTCCTATAATTTCCAAATTTGATGGTCAATTTCTCCAAATTCTCATTTAGTTAATGCATTTAGTTTTCTTCTGCTAATGCATTTATTTTTCTGTAGTTTTCAAATTGCAAAACAAGCAGGCTTTACTCTTTAGAGGGTAGGCCAATCTTGACCTAACCTAAGCCTAGATGCTTTACTTATTCGACCTTTCAATTACTTGAATGAGTACTATAGTAAAGAGTTTTTCGGGAAAGGTGTCATTATAGATTTGAAAATCAAATGGCTATCTAGATTGTCATTAAAGGAATGTTATCATAAATTTTGTAGAACAAAGTTGGTGTAAATAGCATACAGTTCAAGAGGGGAATTGGAAGTAAAATATGAAATTCATATGATCATTACAGGAAAACAATAAAAACATACTTTTCCTTCTTTCTAATGGAGATAATGGAAAAAATGAAGAAGTAGTAAATGAAATCAATGCAAAATTCTTTAAGCTTTGCAACTCTAGATCCTCCTTCAACTGTTTCCTTTTTGAACATCAATTCTTACTCATGACATTTCTTTCTCTGCCAATTCTTTTTTTTTTTTTGAAATAAAAGTGAAGTATTATTATGCATAAGGAACCAAGGGGGTACCACCTATATATAAAATAGTTACATATTAATCAAATGTTCAATGACAATGCCTATATCTTCCCAATTTTTAATACTATGACCGAATAAAATAGAGTCAAAAATATGATTCCATTTATCTTTAATGTGTACAAAGTTAGTCTCTACTTCCTCAAAAGCCCTTACATTTATTTCTTTTCAAATCACCCAAAAAATGATAAGCGGAACAAGAAATAAGTGTCTTTTTTTTTACATAAACCTGCCCAAACAGAAGACTATTTCCTGCCAAGCCGATTTGGAAGACTAAAATTCCTCCACGCATTGCTTTTTTTGCTTGGGAGACTTGCTGGAAAAAAATCGTTACTTTGGATAGGTTGAAAAGTAAAGGCAGGATTATTGCAGATGGTTGCTATTGCTGTTTAAAGGCTGAGGAAACTGGCAGTCATCTTCTACTATAGTGTCCGACTGTTTCTAAACTATAGTGCGGGATTTATGGGTGGTTAGGTATCAATTGAGTTATTTCGGGTTTGGTTGGGGGGCAGATTTGGGATTGGGATGGTTTATATGTAAAAAGAAACATTGCTAATCTTATCCCTTTGACCCTTTTTTGGGTTATTTGGAAAGAGCGGAATAGAAAGGCTTTTGATAACATAGAGAGTAGTTCTAATAGATTAATGGATAGATGGATACACTTGTTTGGGATAATTGTGTTTGGTCAAGACATCATTAATGACAAAAATTTTGAGGAAGTCATTGATGCTCTAACTTCTTTGTAGAGATTTTGTATATGTGTGGTACTCCCGTTTTTTGGTACCTTGTGAATAATATTTTACATTTTTTATTTAAAAAAAAAAACATAAACCCGCCCAAACCCGTAGGTCTTTATTTACACTATCCACCATAACCCAATCCATCCCCATAAGCCTTAAAACAGAGGACCAAATCCTCTAGGTCACTGGGCATCCCAACAGCAGATGGTAACAAGTTTCCTCATCCGCTTTGCAGAAATAACATTTATTGATCAGCATATTACCTTTCCTCCTTAACATGTCAATTGTTAGGATACATTCTTTACCGGCCTCCCATGCAAAAAAAACACTATTCTAGAGGGAGCTTTTGATTTCTATATTTGCTTGAAAGGTGCTGTCATACTGTCACCGTTCTCTCTCATGGTTAGAAAATCATAGAAAGATTTCACTGAGAATCCCCTCTTTTTGTCAGTCTTCCACACCCTTTTATCTTTATGCTCAGGTAATTTAACGCTTGATAAACACAGCAGCAGATTACCATACTCTTCCACTTCCCAATCCTGTAAGTTTCTTTTAACCTGAACATTCCAAGCCCTACCCCCACCAACAGCTTCATAAATCTTCTCCACCATAGTCTCCTTATCTCTGGCGACAGCATAAATTCTAGGAAACCTGTCTTTAAGTTTAAAATCCCCCACCCACTCATCCTGCCAAAAGCGAATTTCCTCACCATTGCCACCTGCCACCCCAAACATCTCCCAAAAACGCTGCTAGCATCCCTAATTGGAGATCATCTCTGCCAATCCATTCTTACTCTTGGGTATCCATTTTAAGTTGAGCTGTTTAGGACCTCTTTCTTCAATTATGAATTAGAATTGGAGATCACTTCAATGATTACTGTTGGCACCATTTGTCTGTCCTCCCCATGAAATCAATGAACTGCTATTTCTTTTATCCATATCATTTGTTCCTTATGGTAAATGTTCCTTTAAGGCTAGGCATTCATTCTCTTTGCATAATCATTTTATAACAATTGAATGATTGTTTTTTACAGCCCATGAATGAAAGTACGCTGTGATTCAAATGATAATGTCTTTGAATGCCCATCATTGATTGAGAAAAACTAATTAATTTCTTGTAACATCCACATCCCATGTTGATAATGTCATATGGAAAGCAATGGTGTAGATATGTGACTTCAAAAACATGTAGGTAGCTTTTGGATACAAATGTTATTAGAAATAACCAAGCCCTATTGGATACCAATGGTATTAGAAATAACCAAGTCCACTATCATGTTGAAATATGAGTTTTGATTTTGTACAGTTATATGTGATTTTTGCATTCCCTGGATGGGCCAGAATGATTTGTTATTGTAACTTGAGGATGTCAACGTGAGTCTTTCAATTGAGGAGGTTATAACTTACAACACCAAAATGTACCCCAAGTGAGGGATGGGGGTTGTTTTATAACCTCAAAAGCACATTCAGTTCTTTTGGGTTCTGGCCTAATTGTTACATTTTATTTATTTATTGTATCTGGGAAACTGAAATCTTTTCCTCTTAAAGGAACTTAAAGGCTAAACCTTTTGGTGTTACAGTGAACTTTATCGATATTCAGTTACACTTAAACCTGTAGATGAATTGCTAGGTTTATCCCATATCTATATGGCTATAGATGTATTTCCAGTTCATAAGGAGGTAGAGGAATCATTGGGTACATATCTAGAAAGGGTGTGATATGGATTTCAGACTAATTTCTACCTCTGGCAATTATAATTGGGGCACTTAGTCATTACTACTTAGGTAGAGGAATCTTTAAGGAGTTATTTATGGATTTCTTGAAATTTGATGCATGTTAGTTTGTCCCTTTACAGGAATCTTGGTGATCATTGGTAAGAAAGTAGGGCTACGTACCAGCTGAAAATATGTTAATGTTAGGTCATTATGCATTGATGAGGAAGTGATCCAGATTCCAGATGATGTACTAAAATGATTCAAGGCATAAAGTCAGCATGGCATCATAAAAATCTTACTTTGTAGGACTTTAGATGGGTATGTTAAGAGGAAAAAGATCTTACTCCCAGCCTGTGCCTGCCCCTGCTAGTTTCAGGATTAGATCAGTTTAATAATCTTTTTTTTATGAGAAATTCTTTTTTCACAAAGGACCTTAGATGGGTATGTTGGAGGAAAAAGATCTACATTCATCCTGTGTCTGCTGCCCCTACTAGTTTTTATGAGAAATGCTTCTTTTGCAGAACAAGATCATCTTGCTTCTGTCTTTTCTGACACATGGATACTTTGCACCTGGATAGTGGAGACTATTATTTGCTTCTAGGTCCCCGTTGGTCTTGTAATTCTTTTAAGATGTTATGATGTTTTCTGAAGATAAAAGATGATGAATCCCTGTTATGTCTTTTCTAAGGTTCCTGACTTCTTTCAATCAATCTTTTGATCTGCTTATTCATTCAAGAAAATATTAGATCTCTGCTTCTGCCAACAATTTGCCGGACTATTATGATAGATATATATATTCTTAATGTCTATTACTTCATAAGCTGATGAATAAGCAGTCTCTCTTTGAAGGGAGTTTTTTCCTGTAAAGGTTCACTAAGACCATAAGTTTATGGAAGTCCTTTTTATAAACTTATGCTTTCAGAACAGGGTAATATAATAATGTCATGACTGCTCTTGGACTTACTTGCTTTCTAGGAACAATGTAATCCCACCAAATAGAGGAAGTAAATGTTCATTGCCTCTTTTCTAGCAAACACAGTATGTCTTTTATCATATCGAGTCCTCTAATTTAATGTATCGAAGTTCATTGATATTGATATCCATGAAAAGAACTGTACCAAACACTACAAATATAGCAATGTTGTGATGCTTTTGAAATTACTAGCTTTATGCAAGCAGTTCATGTTCTTTCTTTGTTTTTTCTGTTCATATTTAATGTGAATGACTTCTCAAGTTACACCTGTCAGGCTGCACTTGAAAAAGGTAAGCACTTGGAAGAAATGACAACTGGAGATATGAAAAATGAAGAAGCAGTACCTGCTGAGGATTTAGGCTGTGGATCAGAATCTGTCAAGTATTTGACATCTCAAATCAACGAGCTAACTGTTTCTTCAAGTCCAACTGTAGCTGCTCCTGTTACTGACTCAATTGAATCTTCAGAACCAGGAACTCTGACTCAAGATATTGATAAAAGAATCAGAGCACTTAAGAAGAAGGTATGATTTATCATATGGTTATATCTCAACCGTGGAAAGAAAAATTTTCCATGTTCTACCTATTATATCCAACAAAATCTTAAGGAAACTTGTAGATATAAGAATAACCTTTGTGGTTAATGTCAAATATGCCATTCAGCTCTTAGCATTGGAATGAGATATTAGCTATTTGTTGCCATAATCTTAGACTTTCAATTTTTCCTTTTTCTTTTTCAAGGGGATGTCAGAATCTACTAATTTTATCTTTTCCAGAAGTAACAACACTAGTCAAAAATAAACCTCTGAGTGCTTGGTTTCAGTATGCATCCACTCTGTATTTTTCATACTTACCACTATAATAATTCTGCAAGTCGTGAGTCATCTTGTTGTGTCCTTGGACAAGATCCATTGCGTCCCTTTCTACTAATGCTTTTAATATCTGTGTATACTTGAACTAACTTTCTTATGTCTGTCTGTAATTCCTTGACACATCCCTCCTGTTCTATACAGCTGCTTGACTGTCTCCGAACTTGATTTACATCCCATGTTAAGGCCTAATATGAGCTTTTAATAGGCTTCTTGATGCCTAAGGGACTCCTAACTGTAATCGTATAAGCTAAGACCTCTGGAATCAATTGTGGCATTTAAATCATGCAAACAAGTGAAGTTTTTTAAAGCAAATTGTCAGAAACCAATCAATAACAACTGGTAATGTGCAGGCACCACTAAACAGGTTTATCTGATTTTTGTTTTGCCTTTCAGATTCGACTAGCAGAAGTACAACAGCAGAAAACTTCAGTGCAGGACATGAAGCCAGAGCAGCTGGAGAAGTTCTCAAAATTCGAAAGCTGGCGGCAGGAGTTGAAGCTTTTGGAGGAGAAAAAGGCAGAACTATCAAGCTCATGAATTTTTGGTTTCTATTAATGCAACACAAAAAACCATGAGGTTTTGTTGCAGGTATAAGTGGTGAAAGCTGCAAATGCTGTATCTTAGGAACAGAAATTCATCTATCCAGATTTTGTTCTAGACATGGTGACTGAATTTGCATAATTTTTAATATTTATATAATTTTAGTTACTATAATATTTTTAATTAGATAATTTTGGTTACGGTATAATTAATTAGATAGTTAACAACATTGTGATAAATAAATGTTCAATTAGACACAAATACAATTAGAAATATTTCAATTTTTACTGTGTCATTTTAAATTCAACAAATTTTTTTTTATAGGTGGTGGAAATGGATTTCAATTTAGTCTTGCGTGCGTCTATGAAGTTGAGGAAATTATGTCTATGTCTAAGAGTTGCACTGATGAATTTTTTGAGAGTACAAATATATCGAACATGATAGATTTACCTTTTTGTGGTAGAAGATGGACCCAATCTAATTCTAGAGATTTATTTTCTCTCTCTAGAATTGATAGGTTTATTGTTTTAACATATTTTCAAGTTCAAGCAGCGGATTTATTCAAAAGCTCATTTAGTATACAATTTCGTATCATTTTCCAATCAATATGAAAACTAATGGTATCCAATGGGGACTTTACCCATTCAGATTTGACAATAGGTGGTTGAAAGTCTCTAATTTCGATGATAAAAGTAGAAGTTGGTGGGAGGGCTTTGAGACTGAGGACAATGCAAGCTACAGGATGGGCAAAATAATATCCATGGTTACGGATAGATCAAAGGAGCAGGGTCAAGGGATATTATATTTGGGACATAGAGAGAGGAAACAAGGTAAGCTATTTCCTGAGTTAAAGAAACTGGGTGGTTTGGAGGGTAAGAGAGGCTTGAGGACGGAGGAGATGGAAAGAAGGGAAAAGCATCCGGCTGGAATCAGTCATATAGAATTTAGAAAAAGTAAAGTATATCCGCAATCCGATAGAGAAATAGGAATTCATCAAACAAAACACATACCTTTAGGACTCCATCGATGCAAAAAACTTGAGCATAATTTATAAAATCACTGTTGAAACCTCCCAAAAAAATTACATTTATTTATTGATAAAACTATTTACTATTTCTTTAAAACTCACTTTTTATTCTAAATCAACTACAAAATCAAGAGAAACTATGAATCTATTGCTATGATTCATAATAGAACTTGCTTTACTAATCACAAAAAATTTTTATCAAACATACATCGTCACTCTGATGTAATTAAAATATTGTTTATAAATATAAAAAATAGTTATTAAATCTTTAGTACCATATAAAACCATTTTTCTTTAGTAAGATATTAATACAAATAACATAATGTTTTACGCTACAATTAAAGGATTTCATTCTAAGCAACGGAATTAAAATTATTACTTCCGAAGAATTACCATTGGAAAATAAAAAATTCAAAGACTTCATTCAAAATCTTATCAGAAAAATTACACTGTAAATAGAAAAAGTATCTTTTAAAGAAACATAGGATTCATTACGTTCTATACTTGGATGATCTATGAGAAATTGGAAGCAGATTTAATAACAAAATTTTAAGTTCGCTTGGGGGAAACTCTTCCGCGCCAAAAAAATGACAGCAAACCAATTAACCAAATATCCAGATTGACAGCCAAGAAAAAGCCCACAAGCCAAACATACAACCTTTACATGCTATTTTGTCTTCAACTAAGGAACCATGCATTACTATGTAAGCCACATTCCACTCTTACTCATCTCCAAACTAGTATTACAAGCAGATTCAGGTAAACATCTAGTCAATTTAATTTAATTTCAACAATTATAAGTCACTTATGCTGACTCAACATCTGAATCACCCAATCCTTCTATGTAAAGCTCGAATTCCTCGGGGGCCCATCTACAAATCAAGTGAAGCCGGAAGGTAGCCATCTTGATTTCCATCAATCGCTGGATATAAATCGAAATCAGTCACCAGGTCCACTAGAATAAGCTGTTAAAAGATGAGCTTAACTAATAATAAATACATCAGATATAAGATTTTCCCATCTACTTCTTAGCAGAAATTGAGAGTGAATACTACTTCAAGGGTACCAAGAATCTAAAATGAAAAAACATTTGACTAGTAGAACAAACCAAGATACGAGCTGCGTCAGGTGATAAAGGATTTCCCTCTTCACAAACAACAAAGTCAGAGACCAGTTCCACCACACCTGCAAATCACGTAAGAAATAAGCAACACATCACACTTCTTCCCCCATGTACATGCAACAGACAATGGAAAGAAGAAATAAGTGACAGACCTTTGTTCAACCGTACAGGCATCCCTTGCTTGCGCAAGAATGGCTCCATCTCATGTGTGAACTGTTCTAGATGGCCTTCCTTAAGTTCCACCTGAAAGTTTGTGTAGCACCACTTGATGATAAAGAGTGTAACTGAATCTAGGAAATGAATGATATGTTGATGTCTGGCATACATGAACAACAGCATGCCAACACAAGAAGCATAAGTGTCAAGATGTTGCTAACTAACAGCAGAGGGAAATAATGCATCCTTAGTTACTTCCAGAGAAATAATTTTCAAAATGGGGTTTCCCCATTTACTCAAGAAATTATGATCATATAGAACAGTACAGGTTCTCACACAAACCTTTTCAGTTGCAGTGGTACCAGTCCTTGCAAAGTCATACTCTTCGTATGTGTTAAACAAACTGCTAAACAATTAGAAAGAAACTTAGAAACAGAACTAGCTCAAAATTATCATTTGAAGGAGAAAGACCAAATATCACAAGAAATAATTTGAATTTCTTTTTTTAATTAAGAAATTAATTTGAATTTCAAATAGAAAGAATAGGAAACGGAAACGATTTTCCACTTCCCTAGGTAAAACAAGAATGATCTCACAATATATATATCACAGGAATCAACGAATATTAGCTTCTTCAAGTAAGACTATCATCCCACACTCTTATTATGTTTCTACTTCTTTCCCCAACTAATTCTCATTACTATTGGAGAAGGCATTACCAATTGTCTTGCCATTATGTGCTTTATCTATAACAATTTTGAATATGAAAGAAGCACATTTACATTAGTTCTCCAATATGGAAAGAAGAAATGGGCAATGAGCAGTAACATTGTTTCCTACAACTATCACATTAGCTTCACAAAAATGGTACACTCAAATTCCTCTTTCTGATCCTTCTATCCTTTTAAAAAACAAACATAAAGGTAGTAAGATCCTAAAAAATTACCCTTCAACCTCCTCTTTTGACATGTTAGTAAGAAGAAGTCCACTATCTCCACGAAGAAGCTGAAGAAAAATTCAACGAGACAGAAAAGACATGATAAGCAACTTGATTTATGATTAAAACTTTTCAGGAATGCTACAAGAAGCATAATTACCTTAGAAACTTTGTGGATGCCTGGTCGGATCTCGTCAGCAGCAGATCGACCCAGGGCAACCTGCATGACTTTGTTTGATCCAAGGAAAAATCTGAAAAAAAAGAATGATTTTTTTAAAAGAAATGCAGAGTTGAAAAAGAAATAACCCCTTATTTTGTAAGGACTTGGAGCATAGAGCTTATAAGCTCCTCAACAACATATAGGCTGCTTTATAGTTTTCTTAAAAATAAATGTTTGGTAAATATTGTATGAGCCTACAAATTTTATAAATTTGTTTATGTTGTAAGTGGTCTGTTCTGTCCAAATAACAGTGCACTAATAAAAAAGGAAGAAAATATGTTGTACAAAAAAAATAAATTTTACCAATTATTTTAGTCTTTTACTTGGTAAACACTAGCATTTTTAAGAGACTCTATGAGCTCTCCAAAAAAAAAGTAGATGTCACCAACTTTCTAACAATGTTATTGCAATGACTTGCTATCTTGGTTGTTTACCAAGTGCATATCAAATTAAACACCATTACAGAACTTATAAATTCATGTTCACCAAAAAAATTATTAAAGCCAAACACCCTCTAAATAAAGCAGTAAAAGATCAATGCTCATGTTCTAACACACGTAATACATTTAATATAACTGCAGATTCATAGACTCTGAATGGTCGAATGAGCATTTAATAACTGGATGATTACGTTTTCCCTAAACTTGAAAATCTAAATAGTCAACCAAATTAAAACAGCATGTTTCAAATTTTATCAATTTCATGAAATTTTTTAATTTTCTTTTTAGAATTTGAAATGAGTAACGAAAAAAAAAATTAAGATTATGTTTTGAACAAATAAATAAATTTTGTGGCAATCATTTTGAAACCAACATCTAGTGTAAATAGAAGCTGAAAATTTAGTATAAGATAACAAAAATTGAGGCTATATCAAATTACAAGTGGATTTGGAACACAATCCCAAACTCTATCAATAACGGAATCGAGATCATATATGTTAAATTCTAAAGAATTGATGGAATTGAATTGCATAATTACAATTCTAATTGAGATTCCCTATAAACTCAATTTTTATTCATCTTCTAGTAACCTTCTCAAACTGCTAATTGAGTTACTTGTAAATTTATAAACAAATGCAGGTCCTTATTTATTCCAAACATAGCCTAAAAACAGTTTTTATCATTTCTAATTGTTGTTTTAATTTTGAACGACACAGTTAGAAAATAAAAATTAAAAATTACTTTATACTTCAAAACTAGCCTAACATTCCAAATGAATACTCCAAAATAATTTATTTCTAGCATATATATCCCTAAATTTTAATTAATTCTCAAAACTATGACGACAATTTTTATTTCTCATCAAAATCTCACATCCAAACGAAAGGTAGAAAGGTCGATGCACTGACCGGCTGGTAGGCTTGAGCTGTTCTCTGAACTCCTTAAATTTAAGATTTCTCATGTTTTCGAAAGAGAAAACATATATGGAGTTGTAATTCTCCACTGCGTCTCTTATGGAATTCACAATTGATTCCTTGTGTTCCCTCCCCTTCTTCTTCGTCTTGGATAAAGTAACTGCACATCATTCAAATGGGCTATTCAAAAACCTTATACATCATAAAAATAACTTTCCACTTAACTTTTTCGAACTTCACTCCCGCTACCTTTATAAGCTAACCAACAGAAAAGAGAAAGAAAAAACACAGACCTTGTTTATTGCGCTTGGACTTGGGCATGATGGCGATTAATTCTACTACTCAGAAAGAAGAGTAATGACCGATTTCCTCTTCTACAATCTCGAAAGAAAATCCTCCTCTTCCTGTGTTTCCTGTGTAGTTAAGGAGAAAGAAAGGAGGGAGACGCGAGAGAGAGCGAACTTTAAGTTGTCTAGGAGTAGGGTTTATGGGAGAGAAGATGAACGGGCTTAGGGTTGGAAGATAAAATGGGCTTGTTCAGAAAATAATAAGAACGACTCGGGCTTGGGCCTTCGACATTAAATGGGCTGATGCTTGCAATCTGAACTCAAAGAGCTTTTCTTCTTTTTTATTTACAATTTACAATTTTTATTTGGTCCAATTATTTAAAATTAAAATTAATTTAAATTTTTTATCAATTATTTAATATAATTACCTTGAAATTAAAATTTATAATATATATAATTAAAATTAATAATAAAATTGTAATATATACCTAACCCCCAAAATAATATAATTTAATTATCCAACACTAATTTAATATCCTTTAAAATAGATAAGATTTTAACCCCCAAAAAATATGTATTTGAAATATTTGAGCCCTAGTCACTCTCCCTCTCCCTGTCTCTCTCAACATGAAAGCGGGAACCAGTCTCAATTGAAATACAGCACTGTAATGAAAAACTCAGTCACCAAACGGGAATTCGATCTTCTTCTTTGTATGTTCTACAACAAGAAAACATATAGATATTGGAGATTCCAAGGAAATGAGAGGCAACACTGCCAATCGCCGGCGTCCAACGGAGTCTTTTAATCGGCCACCGCCACCGCCGTTGGATCACCGGCAGTTTGCCAAGTCCCGCGATTCCGATGCGAGTTTCACCAGCGGCCGGCCATCTTCCATCGGGGTAGGCCGCCCCTCCACCGCTGCCGATTTCTACTCCGATCGCTCGCACCAGTCCTCTGCGCTCCGTTCCGTCAATGCCTTCCTCTCCTCCCACTCTGCCCCTCTTTCCCTCCGCGCCAACCCCGTTCCCTCTCTCAAGGAAATCTCAGAGACTCTCAAGTTCCTGCTCTCCTCTCTCGATTATCCTTGTGACGCCGCCTCCAAATGGGATGATCACCTCTTCTTCCTTCTCAAATCCCTAAATTGTCCCTTCAAAGTAAGCAAATCTACTCTTCGTGCCCCCAACACTCCTCACAACTGGCCAAGCGTTCTCGCTCTTCTCCACTGGCTCGTCCAGGTTGCTCTTTCTTTTGAGCATCTCTCCTCCAATTCCAGGGCCTTTGTGGAGAGCAATAGCATGACCGCTTACGCACTTGATAGTTACATGCACTACATCCGCGGCGAGGACGATCTTGAAGAGGAGTTGGACAGGGAGTTCTTGGGGAAGCTGGAGAGGGAGAGGGATGGCGCAAAGGAAAACGGTGGGGTTTTGGAGATGAACGTGACGGAATTGGAGGCGAAGGCGGAGGCACTGCGGACAGGTCCCTCCGACAGGGAGGTCTTGGAGAAGGAGAGAAGTGTGCTGGAAGAGGATGAGAAGAAGTTTCATGCGATGATTGCGGAATTCACGGGGAGGATTGCGGCAGTGGAGAAGGTTCTGGAGGAGAAGGAGAAGGAAATAAGAGCGAAGGAGGAGGAGAAGAAGAAAATTAGTGAGGAAAATGAGGTGCTGAAGAAGAAAGTAGAGCTGCAGACATTTAATGCCAGGGATGCAGAGAGGATGAAGAGGGAGTTGCAGGCCGTGGAGAGGGATGTCGAGGAGTCGGAGATCGCCAGGGATGCCTGGGAACAGAAGTCTTGGGAGCTTGATAGCAAGATTAAGAATCAACTTAATGAACTCGAGACTCTTTGCATGGAGTGCAATCAAGCTCTTAGGAGGTTCTTCAACTCTAAATATTTCATATTTTCACTTCTTATTACTGACTCTAAATCTCCTGCATAAACTCTCCTATTTGCTGGAAACCTAAACATTTAAGCCATAAAGCACGCTCTAATTATGTAAATTTGAATGCATAGTTTTGAAGAGGGAATGGTCTTCCTGTCAGGCAATGAATGAAATTGCCATCATTTCCATATCAAATGCTCATTTTTTTAGACATTTTTACTCGCCCAAGCTGTCTCCTTAAATATTTCATAATAAAGCATATTAAGAATTTCATCACTGATATGGCTTTCTTTTCTGTGGCTATAGATTAAAGGTTGATAATGGCTTTCAGTACCATTTGAACGAGAAAGGATCCACACCCATGGAGGTTATGGGCATCGACTACAAATCTACATTGAAGCCTGCACTTGAATCCTTTGCTGATGGATTAAAGAAAGACTCAATGGAAAAATTAGAAGAGCTCATTGCCCTTCAGCATCAATCATCTGAAATGACTACCAGGATTGAGGCAAAAAAAAATCACATTGCCACTCTTCAATCCCATATTAATGAAGTAAGTTTTTAGCAGTAGATGCATATTTATTCTTTTCTGCTTATTTTCTAATATCTTTCAAAACTCAAACTATGTTTATAACAAAATGGGAAATTAAACTGAATTGTTCTGTTCCTCACTGAATTAGGAATGGATTACATCTATGACTAGCGATTCCTGATTGTTTCTGGTATACGTCATCTAATGGAAGTTCTTTTTGACCTTAAGTGACACAAATTCCATCATTTCTTTCTTTGCCATCCTCACTTTCTTATTCAAAGTATTTAGTCAGGTATATAGGCAATGGTGGCTAGATGTCTACATTGAGGCTTTATTTCCAGTCACTTGGGAGTATTCAGTGATTGGTTTGTTGATATACTCATTTAGTGAATGATATGAAATTTGGTTCCGAAAACAGGGGTTGGAAACAATGGTGAAGATGTAGGTTGTGCATTTTTTGAACACGTTGATGTGATGTTTTCATTATCAGAAGAAAAACAGAATCCATATAAACATTGAATATCTTTTCTCTGGAGACTGAAAGGAAAAGAAATCAGAAGCTTAAGATGATAAAATGCTGTTTTCAATTTCTACAAAATGAAAATGATATCCATATTTAAACAAAATAATATTATTACTACTCTGTCTACATATAAAATAAATATCTTGTCAAATTCCTTTGACATCCCCTACAAACATTAACTTATCATGTCCATGTGATCTTAAAGCTGCTATTATTGCCTTTGCCATAAATTATCAGGCTTAATTTAGCAGGCTCTAAAAAGTTATAGGTTCTTTGTGATTTTAAAGCTGACATTATTACCTTTGACATATAGTGATTGGGGTTAATCAAGCAGGTTGTTGGAAATATTGTATGATTTGTGTGCTTTTTAAAAATAATAATAATAATAATTCTGTTTCTTCTTTCGGAATGGGAGAAGTTTATGTGACTGGAAAGGAAAATGATTTAGTTCATACTTTTGGTAGTTGTTAATGTTTTGCTCTTTGTCATCGAATCTTTGTTAACTTTCTTTCTTTGCACTGCACAACTTTGCTACTTAGTTACTTCTATTAAGTTTTAAAAATTGGAATCTAGGTGTAGGAAAATTAAGTGAAGTTAGTTCCGCACGTTTTATTGGGCTGACAATAAGTTTTGCATCTTCTCAAATTTGAAGGCCAGAGTATATTTGTTTCAACTACATAAACTACAATCTATAAATATCATTTATGTAAATTGATTAATCCTGAGGGAAAGGACTGAGCCTCTTTTGGCTCAACATCACTAGGTTTCCTACTGGAACATCACAGCCCCAACATATGCTTTCTAAACAATTTTAAAGTGCAGTGAAAAGAGGCACTTGATGAAGCAGACTTCTTGGCTTAATTGCAACTGTTTTGTTGAGGTGGTGCATCCTTCTTGCGATGGATTTGCCTAGAGATCCTTCTTGTCTTAATTCTTGAATTGAATACTGGCTCTACTTGGAATTACAACCTGCCAAACTGTTTTTCCCCAATTATGCGAACAAACATCCTCCATTTCAGAATAAGTCCCAACTCTGGAATGCCTAATGTTACTGGCTGTTAGATCTTCAAACTTCTTTTCCTTAGCTTCAATTTCCCACAATAAAAGATTGGAAAAGAAGTAGTTTATGGAAGTGCCATTATCCAATCTTTTTCTCTGCATTGATAAAATTTCTTTTCAGATGGAAGACAAGTTGAACTCGTGGAAGAAGGAAATTCAGGTCGACACTTATAGATGTGCAGTAGAAGTTAAAAAGATGATGGAGGATGTTCACAATGAGGCTTATAATTTGGATATCATGGAAAAAGAAGCATCAGAGGTTTTGAAGGTATGGCCTTTCTAGTAACTGAATATTTTGTATTCATGATCAGCATTTTGAAAAATGTGGCCAAATTTAATTTTGACATATACCCAGCACCACATTTGAAGGCAATTCAGGAATGTAGTTTCTTCACTTTGATATTATACATTTCATTGACATATTACTGATCAGGCTTAACTTTTGTGAGGAGATAGATATAATTAGACATGTCTAACCAAGTTTCATATGTCCATTAGGCTGCTGAGCTGAAGTTGCAGGAAGTTATCAAACAAAATGAGGAAGAAATTCAGATGCGCGCATGTGAACTCTTTGCTTTGGTTGATTCAGTTTCAAAATACAAGGAATACATGGCATCCAGAATTTCAGAGATGAAAAGTGAACTTGCGGAAGCTGCAGTCACAGTAACAGATGTTTTTAAGGGATCCTTATCAGTACAAGCTGGCGTAGGTAATGATTTCACCCGCTAATGTTAGTTGCTATATATTACCTACTTTGTTTTACCTTTTCTTTTGTTCATGGTCAGGCAACTAATTATCTGCTGCCTAGTGCTGGCACTATGACTTCATTTTGTTGTTTGTAACTTGTGATACAGTGAAAGGAAATTACCAAATTATGATATAAAAACTATGTTTAGTTTGTCTATTTACATAAGATAATGACAACAGCCATACAGAAGAGGTTTTTTTTTTTTTTTTTTTTTCGAAAAGAAATCCCAATGAAATCATTAATAAGAAGATTTTGGACAGACAACACTAAATTCAATTTTCATTAGTAATTAGGAAGCTAAAATTTGGACAGGCAAGAAGATTTTTCTAAATTTAATAAGAATAGTTAAGTCCGAATTTTCCTGCATTAATTCTACTTTTTTCTTGGTAGAATTTTCTTCTTAAAAAAATTCTAATTTGTATTAGGATTAATTTTCAGCAGTTCTTTACGCTAGGAACAGGTTATTTTTAGTTCTAGAGAGTTATAAATACCTTGTAAATCACTCTTTTATATTCACTTTATCATTAATAATATTCTCATAGGTATCTTTCTATTTGTCCTAGTACATTTCTAGTCATTGATTGCTAGGATGGTTAAGGGATGACCCTCGTGAGCTGCAATTTAGGAACAACATGCAACATTAGATAGACCATAACAAACTGCGGAGCGCGGCTTTGAAGAGATCACATAAAAATTGATTCACCAAGTATTTGAAACTATTGATGGACTTTGATTTCAGTGTTTGAAACCATCCCTGGCCTCTTTCTAGGGTGAACGATAAACTTGTGCAATATGGCTTCCATTGTCTATCAGGATTCTATGGTCTTTTTACAGCAATCTGGTCCACATGATCATCTATCCCCTTGTACTTAAATTTTGATGGGATTGCCTCTTCTACCATACTATTTAACACAATATTATACTTGAAGAAATATGAGTCATCTTTGAAGAGCTTAACCTCAAGTTTTTCCAGACGGGTCTACGTACTAACTGTTATGCCAGTTTTAACAGTCTTATTAGGGTTGGTCAATTTGTTTTCTTGATTATTGACCTCCTTCCTAGTGTTTCTTAAGCATCTTCAGGTTGTTTGCTCCTTCATCTGGCTGTGGTCGATATCTTCTTGCACTTGCAGGTTGCTCATCATCTTTCTAAGTTTGTCTCATGCTTCTTAATGGAGGTCAAGTTGCAGGCCTTCATATTCATCAACTAACATGAAAGCTCAATATCTTGATTTCCTTTACAACTGGAGTAAGGTTGTTGTACTTATGCCCGAGTATCAAATTACCAGGAGGTGAATGTTTCGAGGATGTTGGTTGGTTCGTTGCTAAATAGGACCAGATCGAAATTTTTTGCCCTTTGATTTTGGAATAAGAATTTTTTTAATGATTTCTAATTGAAAAAATAATGATAAAATCGACGAAAATTAAAACAAATAATACGTTCATAAATCATAATCATTGGTCAATTTTATAATTAATAAAATTAATAAAACTAATAATAATTCATAAGGTATCAATCTATGATCAAAATTTTTAACATTTTATTTGATTTGGATGGAGGATTGTACCGAATTTGAATTTTTAATTTGTCTAACTTTAGACCAAGATCAAATTGTAAAACCCCTAGGATGTCTCAACTTGACACTTGGGGAGTTTAATTTTTTGTTTGTGCGTTTCTCTTATCACCATAGTCACTCTTTTGTTCATTTAGATAACATTGATGATGTCTCTAGAATCGTGTTTAACCCAAGTATATGTACTATCTTGTGGGGATCTTATGAAATGCATCTTACTTGGAAGAAAATGGTATATATTTATAAATGAGGATATTTCATGATAGTGCAAACCTTCCATTTGAGTGAATCTTTTGGCTACAAGTTTAGATTTTATTTTCAATGTCCCATCTGCATTAAACTTTACTTTAAATGCTCACTTATGTCCAATAAATTTCTTTCCATTCGACAAATTTGTGACTTTATAGGTCTTATTTTCCTCTAGGACATTAATTTCATCTCTCATGGCCATCACCTAATTAATATTTTCACAAGCCTCTTCATATGAAATTGGTTCCCTTTGTGTGCTTAAAGCCAACATATTCTTCTTATATTTGTCAATAATCCGATTATATGAGACAATTGAGGATATGAGAATTGTTCTACCTAATGACGGGTCTCCTACAGGCTGTTGTGGGGAAGTCAAAATATTGACTTGCTCACACACAGAATCTTTTAAATAAGGGGGTACTCTTCTAACTTTATTTGATCTTCTCCTCAAGTGACTGCCATTTACATTAGTGTCATTATGTACAAGAACTTTATTTGTCTCTCTTTTCTCAAGTGTTGATGGTGGTGAGTGGGCATATGTGATCGCTTCATTCAATTGTCCACACTGTGCATTAGGATGTACGTTTACTGCTACAGGCTCCTTGTCAGATCTCCTGCAAGATGGGCATTTGCTAATCTTTCCATTTCAACATCTCCTAGGTTTAGAGTACTGTCTTTCAGAGCTATTATTCACCATTTTGCAAGGAAACATATTCTCATGGAATATCACATTCCTTAAGATAATGATTATGTTTGTTTCCATATCGAGCACCTTATATCCCTTCAGACCAAAAGGATACCCTAGGAAAATGCACTTCTTTGCTTTGGGATTGATTTATGTTTACCATTTCTCAAGGTGGATGCAAGCCAAGCATGTAAAAGTTCAAAAATAGGAAAATAAAATAATACTGAAATTTATTAATTAGAGGAAGTAGTTTGGAGTTTAGGGTTACATTTTTTATACAGTTTACTTAAAACGTCTAATAAAGTTACGGGCATTTTTTTAAAGAATATAAATGAAAAAGAGTAATAAGAAGAACTAATGTGCTCAACCTCTATTCGAAACAGGAAAAATAGAGAGACAATCTTCTAACTAGCTTTCTTCCTGTTTAAGATTCGGATTTTGGTTGTTCTAATCTGAAATTGTTAATGATATAGGGGTGAGCTACACTAACTCAGTAATAATATCAATGTTTTACCACTGATTCGGAAAATTAAAAATTTGTAAAAATCGTAAAATAACCAATTGAGTCTATTTTTTAATAAATTTGTTTAACTGAAAACATTAACTTTTTTAACTCACCTGTAAGTGTTTAAATGTTATTGATGAAAATAAGAATTATAATAGTAATTTACTTTACGCATTCTAAAAGCCAACAACAATTAACCTTTATCATTTCAATTTGCCTACTAGTGCTGTTGGGGGTTCATAGGGGTCCCTACTACACGTAAACCAAAAATTCATTTTATTAATCAAATGGTCATTCCCGTACCCTGTCCGGTAATAAGTACCAAACAAACAACCATCTCAATACTCTGTTCAGTATGAAATTAAACAATTTTCAACCTCTTTCGATATTGGACTTCTCAGTCCCGTTCGACTGAGAGTAACATCTACAGTAAAGTTATCCTATACACCAAGTCCGTACACTCTTTCCTAAGGCACCCTGTAAGCCCTGTTTATTTAACCCAATTTATTTTTGTATATGCTTTCTATTTTCTATTATTTAGCCTTAAGAGATCCGTACATTTATATCACAAACATATGAGTGGACATTCTAAGATAGGTACATAAATTAAGGATGCATTATACCGAAGAAACATGTTATACACACAATAGAATGACTGAACAATATAGATTGAGAGACTACCATGTTAGCCATAAATTTAAAGCAAATAAATTAATATAAGCAGAACAATGAATGGATAAGCATGATAAACAACTAAAGAATGTAAATACTGCAATTAAAACTCAAAATAGGTATAAAATGACTGGTTACTTGTTCTATTTGTTACATGTACTTAATTAATTAAAGAACCACTAATTAACTAAAATTCCGTTTATTATTAGTTTAGATTCAATTTAACCGTAACAGAAAAAATGGGTGAGGGATTCTTACCCTGCGTCAATGTCCGGAACCCCATCTTTTTTACTACGCTTTTCGATGGTTCTTGGTTCCTGGATTTCTTGAGGTTTTCTGCTAAAATCAAAACTTACGTCAAAATAACGCGGAAATACGCGAAAAAATGGCCAAAAGGGAAAAAAATCTTACGGGGGGTCGATTTAGGGTTCTGGCACGGTGCTGCCGCCATGCTCCGCCTTCGGTTTCTCCTAAGGCGGATCCTCGTCTCAGTCAGGCCGGTTTCGGCCGTTTGTGGGTGAAATCCTGTTCAATTTGTGGTTAGGCGGCGTTTGTCGATGGAAAAAGGAAGAAAATAAAGGATTTACCGATGTTTTCGATCTTCGGCGCGGCGACTCAGTCGGGCTCCGTCGTTCTTCCTTCGCGGCTCATGGCTTTTTTTATCACCCTGCACTGCACTGGAACACACATTAGATGGTCTAGGGTCGAGAAACAGAAGGAACGAGAAAGGATTTCAGGTTCACCAGAGCGTTTTTCGATTTTGGGTGCGGCGGCTTAGCCGAGCTCCGCCCTCCGTTTATGGCTTTTTCTCGAGTTTTTCTGCATCAAGAAGTGTTTTGAGTAGTTTAGAATAGAAAAACGGGACAAACGAGATAAAATCGCGCTTACTGGCGTCGATTTGGGTCTATGGTGCGACGGCAACAGTGGGTAGCTTCTCCTCTGGCCGCCCTTTTCTTCTTCTCTGGCGAGCAAGTGTGCAACTAGGGTTAGGGTTTTGATGGAAGATGAGTTTAAATATTCCCCTCCTTTCGATCTGGACTGTCCATCCGGGTCCACATGGTGCGTCCTCAGCCATCTGATCGCGCCTAATAGGGAGAACGAATTTGGGTTGTTCGATTAAAAGTGTGTGGACCGTTCGATCGCGTCTAGTGAGGAAATAGATCTGAGTTGTTCATGCGCGCAAAAGTGAACACGGGCTGTTGGATCGCTTGGCACGTGGATTGCCCGCATGGTTTACCGTGTGGAACTCGTGCTGACGTGTCTGCCACGCAGCGTACGGCAACTGACCATGCTACTGACATGGTTGTCCTACGTGCCCGCTTTTCCTTTTTTTGCTATTTGATCCCCACTTTCAGTTTTTCTTTTCAAATGGGTTCTCCCTTATTTTTAGTTTGGCTTCTTCCTTTTGAAATTATTTTAAAGATATTCAAAATGCATATATCCAAAAACAATTTTAAAAAAAAATTAAAATTAAGCATTTTTATTATTATTATTAAATTGAGGACTTACCGGTGTTTTCGATCTTTGGCGCGGCGGCTCAACCGGGCTCCGTCGTTCCTTTTTCGCAGCTCGTGGCTTTTTTGGTCACCTTACACCGGAAAACACGTTAGATGGCTTAGGGTCGAGAAACGAAAGGAACAAGAAAGGATTTTGGGTTCACCAGAGCGTTTTTTTTATTTTTGGTGCGGCGGCTCAGTCGAGCTCCACCCTCCGTTTATGGCTTTTCTTCGAGTTTTCCTGTATCAAGAAGTGTTTTAGGTAGCTTAGAATGGAAAAATGTGACGAATGAGAGAAAATCGCGTTTACGGGCGTCGTTTTAGGTCTTCGGTGCGGCGGCGACAGTGGTTGACTTCTCCCCCAGCCGCCCTTTTTTTCTTCTCTTGCGAGCAGGTATGCAACTAAGGTAAGGGTTTTGATGGAAGAGGAGTTTAAATATTCTCCTCCTTTCGATTTGGACCGTCCATCCGGGTCCACATGGTACATCCTCAGCCATCCGATCACACTTAATAGAAGAACGGATTTGGACCGTTCGATTGAAGGCGTGTAGACTGTTCAATCACGCCTAATGAGGAAATAAATTTGAGTTGTTCGTGCGCGCAAGAGTGAACACGGACCGTTGGATCACTTGGCACATTGATTGCCCGCGTGGCTTACCTCGTGGAATGCGTGCTGACGTGTCCGCCACACAACGCACAGCGACTGGCCGTGCTGCTGACGTGGTTGTCCTACGTAGCTGTTTTTTCATTTTTTGCTATTTGATCCCTACTTTCAATTTTTTTTTTCAAATGGGTTCTTCCTTATTTTCAGTTTGGTTTCTTCTTTTGAAATTATTTTAAAGATATTCAAAATGCATATATTCAAAAAAAATTCTAAAAAAATTAAAATTAAACATTTATTATTATTATTATTAAAATTAGTGTATGTCATCTCGAACTTAAATTTCAAGTTTGGGATGTTACAAAGCAACCAAATACTCTAAGATGTCTGTATTCTGGCTTGGTCTGAAAGAACACTTCATACAGAGTTCTATGATTGATGACTAGTGAAAGCACTTTGTTCATGAGGTACACTGTTGTCAAGACAAAATCACTCCAGTCTTTCAGCTCAACTCCACTTTGGAATTTTAGGGCTCTAGCAATGTTGAGGATCTGTAGGCGCCTCCTTTCTCCTTGTCATTATGTTCAGAGGTTTTAACATAAACTTTTTGGTATATGATTCCCTTCTCTATATAGAAACTCTTCATCTCAAATTCTTTCTCATTGTCACTGCAAGTTATTCTGATTTTCTTATTGAACTGTGTCTCAATCATGATAATAAAATTTTTAGGTTTAGGCTGGTCCCAGCCTTATATTTCATTAAATAGACCCATACACATCTACTATAGTCATTCATAATGGTACGAAAGTAGCAATATCCATCATATGAAATTTCATTGCAAGATATTCAAATATTACAATATATCAACTCAAAACATTATTTACTTCTATGTTCACTAACACAAAATGAGAGTCTATGCATTTTAACCAGAGCATAAATTCAAGGTTTGCAGTTTTTATTCCTCAAAATTACATGAGGGGAAGCCTGATAAGGACTGTGATGGATGTCCAAGGTGATGGTGTCAAAGATTGAATGTTTCACCTTGATTAAGGGCCGAGAGCACTATGCTAGAAAATCCTTGTTGAGACTGGTTTGGAAGACTTTCATGTTGCTTGAATTGATACAATCCATCCTTCATCTCACCCACTCCAAGTGTTTTTCAAGTTATAAGGTCTTGTATCATGCAAACCTCCTGTGAGAATATTAGATAACACCTAGAATCTTCAGTCAACCTTCTAGCAGATATCAAATTGAACTTAAATAATGGTATACACAAAAACATTCTGAAGAACCAGTTTATCAGTTATACCCACAATTGCAACATTCAGCAATATCCATCATATGAAATTTCATTGCAAGATATTCAAATATTACAATATATCAACTCAAAACATTATTTACTTCTATGTTCACTAACACAAAATGAGAGTCTATGCATTTTAACCAGAGCATAAATTCAAGGTTTGCAGTTTTTATTCCTCAAAATTACATGAGGGGAAGCCTGATAAGGACTGTGATGGATGTCCAAGGTGATGGTGTCAAAGATTGAATGTTTCACCTTGATTAAGGGCCGAGAGCACTATGCTAGAAAATCCTTGTTGAGACTGGTTTGGAAGACTTTCATGTTGCTTGAATTGATACAATCCATCCTTCATCTCACCCACTCCAAGTGTTTTTCAAGTTATAAGGTCCTGTATCATGCAAACCTCCTGTGAGAATATTAGATAACACCTAGAATCTTCAGTCAACCTTCTAGCAGATATCAAATTGAACTTAAATAATGGTATACACAAAAACATTCTGAAGAACCAGTTTATCAGTTATACCCACAATTGCAACATTCAGAAGTGTTTGTCATAGTACTGGTATATAAATATGTTGTTGATATGATATGGTCTAATGCACTAGTGTCTATGATCTATAGAATGATTAAATGATTTTTTATCTTGTTACATTAAGGGAAAGAGACATCAGAGAAACTAGTTACCTGTGTGGAAGCAGAAGGTGATTGTACCATGTGTGCTGAGGATTGATTGTGCTGTAGTGTCATGAGTTGAGTGTACTGTTCCTTGTGATGATAAGTTGTTTTTCTGGATCTGGATGTTCATGTGTAACTTGGGGGGAGACATGATTTACATTAGAGCGCCTGACTTTATGCTAGACTTCTGCCTTTTCGGGTATCCTCGGAGCTTGAGCAAGTCTTTACAATATGTGTAGACATGTTATAATTGGAACACGAATGTATATTAGAATTTGTCTTAGAACATTGCTCTAAAGAATGTTCTTCCATTTTGCAAAGAGAGCATTAATATTTCTCATTGTTTGTTTCTCTATTACTGAAAGTTAGAGCTCTATTAATTGTACTGTCTGGTGGGATTTTCTACATTTTTGTTCTTGCTGGATGATCGAGTACACTTCAATCAAAATAGGAAAAGGCTTTATCAATTGTTATCTAAGCGCTAGTGGCTTTGTAAGACCCGTTTAAACCCATGAGAAACTTCATTACGGTCTTTTTGTTGGTATTCAATTATGGTTTTTAATCATTCACAAGTACAATTCCGAATAAACTCTAATTCATCAACTCATCAAACAATATTTTAACTTTGAGAAATAAACATTTATAGGCTCTAGAAAAGACTATTTGGACTAGAAGGATCTAGGATGGTTCCACTTGAAGGTGATGAATTTTGTGGAAAGTCATCGAATTTGAGTTGTTCTTTATTCCTTGCTCTGATACCATGCAAGAAAGTACTCCAATGCTGTTACTGAACAGGATTTGCGAAGATTTGCAAAAGAAACGAAAAACAACCACAAGAAATGTTAGAAAGATTTGCAGACGACAGCTTGCTGAGAGAAATCTTAATAGGTTTTTTATATTTATATTTATATTTAATTTCAGATGCTTCAAATGAAAAAAAATTAGGTATTCATATATCGAGTAAGGGGAATGTACACCTCTTATAGAACTTACCAAAACCTGTTTTAACATGATATATAGATACGTACGTATATACATATGCTTGAGAAACACATGCTTCCATTGGAGCAACGCAGCCCACATTCTTTTCCTCTCACTGGTGGGCTCGAGCAGCCCTTTTCTCCTATGACTCTAGGCTCAGCCAGCCAAATTCATTAACAAATACGAACAAACTAAGCTAGGTATACTTTATCTTATTGGTTAAGGAAAAATTTTATGCCATCTTTATTGTTAATGAAAAGTATTGACCTTTTTTAAGCAGAAAACTCGGTATTTTATGCCAAAATTTGAGAATGAAATTAATCAAATAGGAATATCACCTGGGGATATTGTTTTGATTGCTAGATAATTTAAATTTAAGCATAGATCAAAGAAATATCAAACTGACAACAATGACTTCTGTGCTAATGAAAAACAAAAAGAGAGAGAGAAAAAACAATTTAATTGATGAAATAAAGTCTCCCATGTTAACATGGGTTATGCTTAGAAAGATGATTAAGTGATTAGTTAAATATAATTAGTAAGATTTAATTATAATTAATTAAGAGAAAGGTGTGGGAAGTTGTAGTTGACGTATTCAAGATCTGATCCCAATGTTCTTTTTTATTTGTTATGGGATTTCGTACGGGGCTCATATTCCATGTGGAGAAGATGATGTCATGTGATCCATTTAATTAATCTTTATTAATGAATTCATTTTTTTAATCCCAATATCTCAAGGGTTTTGATCAATGCATGTTTAATATATATATATATATATATATGGTTGAAAATTGCTTCTCAAGCACCACTCATCCTGCAAGTCTAAGGAAATTATTATAATGCATAATTTCATCAAATCTCCTCTTTTGTTTTTAACAAAAGTGAAAAAAGAACTCTTTTATTTTTTCATGGTAATTGATTAACAAAAATGTCTAATTGACTTGTGATTTTTGGAGTACAGTATATTTAATTTACTGTATATATAATTAAATAAGCAGAATCAATCTTCAAATATTATGTAATAATAAAAATCTTAATTTACTATGCATGAATGCATATATATACACACATATATATAAACTTATGTACTATGAATGCATGTGTTACAATTACTCTTTAAATGGTATAAAATTGTATTGAGAATGATTTTGGTTACAAGAAAAAATCCATTAATTTTATCATCATATCTTCAGACACCTAGATAAATTTCTGATTTGTAATCATGTATGCATGTGTATGGTAGATTTATACATACGACTCATACATACATTTATAAACAAGAATATATATCTAACATGCCCAAGTTTATAAAGAAATTATTCAATTGAATATATAGCATAAAAGAGGGAAAAAAAGTAATTATGAGGATTATTACCCAAAATCCGGAGTACTTACATATATCACCAGAGGTGGCTATTAATTATATATGTAATAGAGGGTTGCCAAATGATAGTTGATTACGTAGGGATACTACTTACTTGTATGTATGTGTATATATGTATATATATATATATTATAATTACATGATAGAGGATGAAAAATTCAGGAAGGGGAAGGCAAGAAAATTAGGACGCCTAATGTAAGTAGAAGATAAAATTTTCTTTTAATTCAACAGCTACCTAATTAATAGTTAATGGTTTGTTTTAGTGGAAATCAATTTGATTAATTTAGGTAGACCTTGAATTAAAGTATGACCTAATTTTCATACTTATATATTTCTATTAAATTATGATATTTGAATGAAAAGAAAAGGAGAATTAGGGTTTATTACTTACTTGAGAAAATTCCCATTAACCAGAAATATTAGCTTAGAAGGTGGGGATAAAAATGTCCATCAACAAGTAGGGTGGCAATAGGCAATAAAGAACATGGGGAGAGTGGTCTAGTCAACTTGTAATTATTATGATCTATACTTATAATTATAATTATAATAGTAATTAAGGTGCAACTAATTAATATATAAAAAAAAAAGAAATTAATTAATTAAAGTCAAAGCTAGATGCGTCCTATATACAGTTTTGCGAGCAGAGAATTGATATTGGCGCCTTAAAAGTAGCAGTAATATATATATATATATATATATATATATATACATACAGAGAGAGAGAGAGAGAAGTTTTTGTGTTTACAGATGGAGAAAGAGGCAACTGAGATTGATCTTTCTCTCAGACTGGAGACCTTAGAAGATGAGAAAGAAGAAGAAGAAGAAGAAGATCATGATGGTAATTTATTACTACAACAACCGCAAGAATTATATACAGAGGGTCAGAATAATATTTCACTGCAGCAAAACTTGAACACGCATGAGGTACGTACTGTATATATATGTACACACACAAACACATATACACCATATTGTAAATCTGACCTTTTCTTTTCTAATCTGGGATTGGTCATACTGATAATTAATCTCATATGCAATTAAACTCAACTTTGAGTTTTGAACTTACTATATGGTTACGACAAATCTAGCGATACATATGTGTTTAATTAAAAAGTCATCATAATACTATTTTGCAATTTTTTCTAATATATATATATATATATATGTATATAGTTATGTGGGTTGCATATGGAGATGAAGCGTATGAAGGAAGAGAACAAAGTGTTGAGGAAGGTAGTAGAACAAACCATAAAAGATTATCATGATCTGCAACTCAAACTTTCTCTTATCCACCAAAATAATCCCATTTCTAAGGTAATTAGCTATATAGTATATGTATATATCTAGATGGGTTTGATTTATTTTAATCATGCGTATGTAGATCTTAATCAATTATGATGATTAATTATTATAATATATATATATATGTAGGATATTCCTGAAATAAACTCCAACGATAATGAAAGTGGTTCTCATCATCATCATCAAGTTGAAAAGACAAAGATTAATGTACTTGGTGATGAAGCATTAGACGAAGATGATGATGGTGGTGATATGAACATTAGCGAACAGTACAGATCAGGTCCATCACAAGATGAACTGGGTTTATCTCTCAGGCTACACACAAATACAAATTTAGATCTCCAATTAGAACCTGCTGATCAGAAACAAGAAAAGTCTGCACCCAATTCCACACTGCAACGCAACAAGTTCCATCATCACTTGTCTGGAATCACAATGTCGCATGTCAGCAACCCACCTAACAGAAAAGCTAGGGTTTCTGTAAGAGCCAGATGTCAATCATCAACTGTGAGTTCAGTCTTTTCATGTATACATTCATCTATGTACATATACACATACCACTATCTCTTTG